TAAATGACCCAACTTAAAAGCCTGGCAATTGTCATTCATCTCACATATAATTTATTTGATAGAGACTGACACGTAACAGTGACCTATGTTAGAAACAACTGCATGCATGTGGTCAAAACCAGAGAAGAATCATGCCTCAGGAGATGATAATTTCCTTCAGAGTACTCCTATTTGAGACACTCTGAAATCATCCACTGAATCTGGAAATTCTGACTGTTATAATGCCTACAGACTAAAAAAATCACCCATGGATCCTGAGAAATAAATATATTTCTTGGCTTACATACTCACTTTGCTTCCTCTTCCCTGCCTTTACAAAACTGAAGAATGTCTGCAGTGCAATTCTAAAGATCACTTGTTGAAAGCAAGCCTGGAGAGTTTTCAGTGCCCACGGAAACCTGCAGGAACCCAGTGTATTTCGAAACTGCTTCCTTGCTTTGCCCCTTCCCAGTGACATCCCAGGCACTAAAACACACTGCTTCTTGTTTGGCAAAATAAACTTCACTTTATGATGAAGATTCTCATTCTCCAGGACTAGAGCTTTAGGCACCATAAATACATGCTACTAGAGTCTTGCACATACATCTGCATGCACACACACTTTTTAGGAGCATTATCACCATTTCCTTGATTCAAATGCAACAGAAAAAGAAAAATCTGATAAATTTTCAGGGCAATCACATAGCAGTTAATATTCAGAGAATGTTAAAAGTTGGGTTTTCCCTTTCCTTAAATACTGCTAGTGATCATATGACTATGACACATCTGCACAGCATCAATATTTCTCACTTCACCTCTTGCACTAAGGTAACATGACCTGGTCATGATGTTACTGGCATTGTAAACCTCTCTAATGAAGTCTTTTATATGCATGGTGGGGTGCATAAGTAACAAAAGTTAATAGAGCCTTTATGGGAGATTATTACAAAAACATTTAAGACAGTTGTACAAGTTTTTATGAATGGGTATCTTTTAACCTTGCAGATGCAGCTGCCATTTGAAACTATTTTAGAGCAGAAGGCTCTATCAGTCACATAGCTGAACTCACACAGATATCACAACAGCCTTACACATGAGTAATATCACATGTTATATCAAGAAATTGATTTATGGACATTTTACAGGCACCTTGATTTTTGGTTTTGGTTTTTATGTTGGATTTTTTGGGTTTTTTCCAGTGCAAGAGATCTAGACAGTTTATATTTGATAGGCTGTTCATGAATTATAGTCTACTGCTGTTTGCAGGTTGGAACTTCTTCCCACACAGATTTCATTTTATCATCAGACTGTTTAATTCTGCGCTTATAAAAATGTCATCCTAGTCATAAGGGAAGAATTAGACAGCACTGTCTTAAGATTTTCTGCACATACCGTGACAAGATGCAGATACTGTGATACTAATATGCCAGCAGAGTGTATCAGTTCCAGGATCAGGCCAATACACATGCTGTTATTGAGCTATGGCTTGCTGGTTTCAGAAGTGCAATGAAATAATAAAATAATATAACCTAGTAATACATTAACTACATTACAGTATTCACAGTGCTACCCCCTGATATCATAGCCTGGAATACACTAACACACTGATAATATCCTAAGAGTATATTAAAATTATTTTGGAGCAAAAGCAGTACCAGCTTCTATATTATCTCCCAAAATAACATTCTAAGAGTGTGAAAGAAGTTATCAGGAGACTCTAACCCTTCTGCATGTTGTGGATTGCACAGTCTTTCTAAAAGACAGTGAATTTCCCCTTGGGACACACTTATGATCAAGTTTTGTGAGAACATATTACAGGTTTTTTCCAAGTATTTTATCCAACATGATGAATGACATACAAAAAATATCTCTATATGGAGTCAGGGGAAGATAATTTAATCACATATAATATTTGAATACTCACATATGTTATTGTATTTTAATTTGTACAATAAATTGTAAGTTAAATAGTTTTAAATTTTATCACTTGTGTAGTTTATGGAATTACTGCTGATGTAGAAAACATTCTGTTCTATGCAGATTAAAAAATGTATATTTAAAATGTATATAAAGAACCAGCTAATGAGCTAAACAGATGGGGTTGTGTATTTAACTTCACTGGAAAGTACTGAAATAAAGTAACTAACAGCATTTGTGCAAATGAAAATAAATCTCATGAAAATCTGAATGGATTTTCCTTTGTTAGACAGAAATTTGTGCTTGGCATATAACTACATATTATAGCCAATGGCTGTGGTTTGCTGACACGTCCTGTCAATAGCTATGTCTCAGCTGTTAAAAAACAATAAGTTTGTACTTTTAACTCAATACTAGTACAAGGGTTTCTGCACAGATACCAATTTACAGAACTGAAAAAAGGAAAAAATGCATGAATCTCAGTACTGCAAGAAATATAATTTTCCCAAAAGTACTTCTTTCAAAAAAACCTAAACTAATTAAAGTGCAACTTAATCACAGTACTGATCATTTACATAAGCCCTGCAACCTGACAGAAGCAGACACCCATGTCTGGTTACATCCATGAAACCTTTCTGGGACCACTTTTGTCTTTAAACACTCAGTTATGCAGATCAGACTGCAAGCTGAAGGCCTGAATCTATTTCATCATAAATGATGCTGGTTTGAAAGGCAGCTATCATTAAACTGCCAGGCAAAGGCAGAGGAAGTACTTATTTTAAATAAAACCTATCTATTTCTCTGTTAGATCCATTTAAGAGCCTTCAAAGTAAAAAAATATTTCCACTGGTGCTTACTTTTCAATGCTTGTGCCATTCATTTAACACAGAAGACATGTTAAGTTTGGACAAGAAAACTGGATGCTTCATTCCATATTCAGGGTAACAGCAGTATCTTAATTTATAAAAGACATTACCAGTGCTACTATTTCTTATTTAACTTCTGCTATTTCACAGAGAAAAATGTATTTTATATTAGAGCCAAAATTAAATCAAACTTAATCCCAAATTATGCTAAACACTTAAAGGGGTTTTGATAGATTAAGGCCCACTCCATCAAGCTGCTCCCTACAGACAGGTCTCCATTTGTAAGAGCCCACACAGCAATCCTCACTGGAGAAGAACTGCAGAAATTCCAGTCACAAAAAAATCACAAATGTCTTGCAGCAGACACAAAAACCAAACCCACCATGTTTCCCCCCAAATTACTAGAATACAAACACTTCCTCCCCATTAGTACATTTTTAAATGTTTAACCTAAATCCATCTACTAACAACTGATACCCTGAGCTCCACTATTTGCAAGTCTATATTACTGAACCTGTGGTGCAAAGAACATATCTAGAAGTGAGATAAACTCTTTAAGATGAACCATCACCATATTTCACTAGAGTAATATATTATTAGCATTCTGACAGTTCAACTCTAACATTACTGGTACACAGAAACTCTCAGAGGGAAGTACGAACTTCCAACCTCAATGGTTTTACACCAACTGTATTTAGAACATCTCCACGCTCCACAGTGCTTCAAATCCTCATACAAATAAACTTGTACACACTCAGAGGGAAAACCACCATTTGAAAAACTACATAACAATACTCCCAAAGCATATATTCCTTCAGGTGAACAATTCAGCCTGCAAAATAACTTTTCACATTCTGAATAATTCTTCTCCCTTTTTTAAAGTCACTGTGGTTGTTCAATTAGCTACTTACCCACTTAACAGTTTGATCTCATGATCCATAGTATTAGGGATTTTTCCATAAACAAAATATGTTTGCAATACAGTAGGCATGAAGCACACATGGACAGGACAGAGTAACAGAAGCATAGGTTACATACACATCTGTGCTCCCAGGTCTCAGCCTGAGGAGCAAAGACAGAAGGACACATGCACACAGCAGTCTAAATGCAAGAGATCATCCTCATCTTTTTCAGCTTTCTTCATTTATACCAGCTCACTGATTTAAGTACAGGTATGCTTGAAGAAGAGGGGCATGCAGACATCCAGCAAAAATATAAAGAAAACACTTTTGGAAACTGAACACACACATACATTCAGTTGCATATTCATGAGGAAAGGCCATGACAAGAGTTTTCAGGAAACTGCAACTGAAATTGAATTTTGTTTTCCTAAATTACTGCAGCAAGAGCAGGCTTTGCTGGTCTCTCCTGTGAATGTGTCTGTACCAAGAGGCTGCAGATCCCACGAGATGCACAGGAAAGCAGGCCTCACATGCTCCAGAACATCCGGTGCAGCCACAACTCCTGCAGATGACAGCTGTCACTGGACAATGCACAAACCCAAACACTGCAAGGGAACACCGAAAAACCAACATGGCCTGAAGGTATGCAAACTTTCCACACAGCAGGATAGATGGTAAGTCTCAATCAGGCCACTGGTTTATCTGGACTGAATTTGAGAAAACAGGATAAGAACACCTGCAAAAATTGATGCAGGGTAGTACACTTTTTCTACTTCTTCCATTCACAAGGCATATTGACCAACATCATGGAGAATGGCTACAAAATTTATACCACTTACAATAACGAAATTGGATATGGGCACTCCAAAATGTTGAAGCATGATGGGTGGGCCCATGTATATATTCCTGGCAAGCTTGTAAAGTACTACTGACATTTGCAAATAAGCACAGAAATAAACAAGCAACTGAGATCCTATTCAAAAGAAAAAACACAGTCCTCTGTCATTTGTCCTGTCCAGTGGCAAAGATGCTGCTCATCAGGACTGGCATCTCTCCCATCTACAACTTCTTGGACCAGAATGTCACGTGTATGCAGACAGAGATAGGTCATGCTCCAAGCAGACTTTCAAAGCAAGACTAAAGTTGTGATCACTGGATTCCACACATCCACTTTTTTTTTAAAATCATTCTGCAAAATCTCTCACAGCTGCCCTAAACAGTTTACAAAAACAAAGTGATCAGAGAGATGATTTATGTTTGCATTTATGATTATGTTTGCAACATAAATGTCTTCCCTTTCCATGAGCCAGCTTAATGCAGACGTTGCTGCACTCACCCCAGCTGAGGTTTGGCAGGAATCGGGGGAGGAATGATGTTGATGAGTGAAAGTGTTTGAAGCCCAACTAATTTCTCTTCAACTCCTACTGGTCCCCCCTGCTCTCCCAAGCCACTTCCAGCCTGGCACTTGTTAGCAGCTCCCGGCGCTGGGGAAAAGAGGTGCCGTGCAAAAGCTTCCTCCGAGCAGCTGAGAGGAGACTCTGAGAAGGTTATGCAGAAATAAAACCAAACGAAATGACTGTTCGCAGGTCGGCACGCTTCACCTATCTTACACCGGGAACAATGGAGAGGAGGGCAGCGGGAGGATACGGCCCGGCAGGACGGGGCCGGCGGGACGCGCTGTCCGTCCGTCCGTCCGTCAGCTCTTTGTCCGTCTGTCAGGCAGCCCCGCTGGCCCCATCCCCGCCGCCCCGGTGCGGCCTGCGCGGCCCCGCGGCTCCCGGCCGGGGAGCGGACGGAGCGGGAGCAGCGGGAGCAGCGGGCGGAGGGCGCCCGCCGCCTCTTCATCCCCGGCTCCCCGCCGGCCTCTCCGCGCCGGGGCCAAGCGCGGCCCATGCGGGACGCAGCGCGCCGCGGCCCCCCCTTCCCTTCCTTCCCTCCTTCCCCTCCCTGTCCTCCTCCTCCTCCCGCCCTCCCTCCGCGCACCGAACGGCCCCGACCGGCCCCGGCTCGCTCCCGCCGGCACTTACCGGCCGCAGAGCTGCGAGGAGAAGGCGGCCGGGCCGGGCCGGGCCGGGGCGCGGCGGCGCTTTCCTGCTGCTCCGCCGAGCGTCCGCGGGCGGTGACAGCGACACCCGGCCAGAGCGCCGCGCGCGCGCTGCACCACGGGAAACGCGCCCGGAGGACCGGCGGGACGGGAGGAGGAGGAGGAGGATGGGGATGACGGCGATGGGGAAGCGAGCCGGGAGCCGGGAGCCTGGAGCCGCGCCGGGGCTGCGGCGGCTGCCGGGGCGGGCGGTGCCGGGTTACGCGCGGGTCAGGAGGCCGCCGCGGCCGTGGGAGCGCTGCCCGCGCCGGCCCCGGGCGGAGGCGGGGCGGGAGAGACCCTTCGGGCATCGGCCCCGGCGGGGGCGGCCCCCGAGCCCCTCGGTGCCCGGGCGGCCGCTTAAAGCGCAGCAGGGCCGCCCGGGGCAGAGGAGGCCGGAGCGGCCGCCACGGGAGAAGGCTCAGCTGCTACAGAAGTGCTGTGGTTGGAAGGGACCCCTGGAGATCATCCCGACCGACTCCCCCCGGGCAGGGCCGGCTGGAGCAGGTGACACGGGAACGCGTCCAGGTGGGTTTGGAATGTCCCCGAAGAGGGAGATTCCACGGCCGCCCTGGGCAGCCTGTTCCGGGGCTCTGCCACCCTCAGTGGAGAGGAGCAAAGCCTGATCTGGTTCCCCACTGGTGGTGCTTCCCTGGGGTGAGGCCCCACCGCAGACTGACAGTGCCACTGCACACACGGTGTCCCTCGGGCTCTCAGGGCCTCCAGATCCGTCTGAAAGTCCCACCATGAGTTTTCTGCGCTGTAATCTCCATTATCGTGATGTTCGCCATGACCCTGCACAATAAATTATTTGGGGAACTGCTAGAGGCCAAATCTTAAAACCCAACGCCGTCCCTGGACTAGCTCTCCACCCAGACTGGCTGCACCTCTGCAGCCTGGGCTGTGGCACGGTGTCACTTGCACCTCTCAGCTTCACCTCTTCCAGGGGTTACCAACTTTTCCACGTTTCTCTAAATAAAGTCTTTCACCCAGCAACGCACTTAAACACGTGCGTACCTCAATTGCTCTGTGTCATTTGCGTATAATTAAGCATGTGCTTAAGTGCTCTGCTGGATTGAAGCCAAGATCTGCATAAGCTCTGTTGGGTAAAATTTACCAGCTTCGCTGGGCTTAGCTCTGTGACTCATTCAATCAGCAGAAGCCCAAAGCTTTTTGCTACAAGCTTAGTTATTCCCAGGCTGTCCTACAGGATCACCCTGTCTCCGTGATGAGGCTTGTGTCCTTCACTCAGGTGCTGTGAGAGGTGAGAAGCATCTGCCTGGTGAGTCAGCTGGACTGTAGGGTTTCGAGTTCCTTCAGCCAGGTGCATTAATAAGGTTCTGCACCCTCGCGCAGGTCAGAGGTTGTGCCATCAAGTTACAGTGCAAGAAATTGCATTAAGAAGAGAGTGTTAATGGCACCAGACCCTGAAGAAGGGCTGCCCTGACTTTTTGCAATATGTGCATTTCAAAATGATGGTGTCGAGTACTCCATCTCTATGAGCAGAGGAAGGGGTTAATAAAATGTAGCTACATTCCATGCAGTCCTCAACAATTTTACACAAATACAAGAAGTGTCATTAACCTGCTTATTGAATAAAATGGGAAACTTTCATTTTCAAAGAGTTTTAGAAACTGAGGGAAGACATACATTTGTTCAGCTTTGATTTTTTTTTTCCTTCAAAGACAGTTAACTTGGTGACTTTACTCATTTTTCCCTGTCAAAAAAAAATATCTTTTGAATTGCATTAAGTCTGAGTCAGAAAGCTCAGCACTAAAACCTTATTTTAAAACACACTGAGGAATTAAAGCTTTCTGCAGGGTGAGCAGAAGTCTTTCTCCAAGGACACATCAATTGGAACCTGCTTTTCAAAATATCTGTTTGGCAATTAACAGTGTAACACGAAGAAGAAAGACTGCCTTGTATTTAATGCAAAATAGTAAGACTCAGCATATTTGAGTGCTGTTCATTACTCTCTTATCATTCTTCTATAACCTTAATCAAGACATGTTCCAATTTTCAAATGACAGTTTGGGTTAGGGTGCAGGTTTTTGTGTTGTTTCAAGAGGAATTAAGCACATATAAATTGTCAAGTTCAGTAAGAACCTACAGTGCTTTTTTCATCTGGAAGTCCCCTGCACCAGGGCAGAGTGGTGAAGGGACACATCAGCCCCTGGACCTCTCCCTCACATATTTTCAAATGATGGCACTTCCTCACCAAGTCACCCAGCTGTGGTACTAAGAGGAATTAAGCACGTATAAATTGTCAAGTTCAGTAAGAATCTTACAGTGCTTTGTTCATCTGGAAGTCCCCTGCACCAGGGCAGAGTGGTGAAGGGACACATCAGCCCCTGGACCTCTCCCTCACATATTTTCAAATGATGGCACTTCCTCACCAAGTCACCCAGCTGTGGTACAGATGTTCATATTGTTCATTCATATGTTTGGACACATATTTAATACTGTGCTGTTTATTTATTAATATCAGTATTTTCACATTGCAAAATAGAAATATATAAACTCAGTAGCTTGAGAAGCTTAAAGAAGCATTTGCATTTTGACCTATATTTTTTTCCTTACACTGCTCTGTAAATAGCAGAAAAACTCTGCTTTTCCCTGGGTAAAATAATTAATAGTCTTTAATATAGTCTTTCCTCTCCCTTCTGAATTCCAAGAGTTTCCCACCTATGAGAAACCCTCTAAAAGGCAATGTGTATGCAGCACGGAGCACAGTACCCTTCAGTTTTAAGAGGGCTAAATACTGGAAAGTAAAAAGCACTTCACCCTCCTTCCTTTTATTTTTTATTTTCTTCTCTTTTCTGTATAAATCTAGAAACAAAAAAAAAAAATAGGAAGCACAAGTAGTTTATGTATTAAAAAGTGGCTTTGGGGAATCACTGGGGAATACATGTGTGTTAAAAGGTCTTAACCAGGAAGCAGCTTCAGAAGTAACTGCACACATCAAGCAGAACCAACACATTTGGACCTCCTGCAAGAAAAACTCAAGGAATTAATTCAGAAATTTATGCATCAAGCCAGTGACTTCTACTGAAGTAGCTGTTGACCTGGAGAGATCAAGTCTGGGAATTTGAGAGAGAAGTCCACCAGTTATGTGGACTTTTAAGCTGGCCTCATAGCATTGCTCTCAAATTTATGCCTTTGTATTTGTCTGCATTCATCAAGCCTGAGCTTCTAATTATTAGCTATCAGGTTTAAGGACTGTGTATCAAGCTTTTTAACTCTGTTCTCCAGGTCTTGCTTTATCCTTGTAACTCTTTATAATTCCCCTTCCCATTTTTCAAAAATTTATTTTTGTTTGTTTGAAAATACTGTTAGGGTGGCCTACAGCTTATCATGTAGACCACAGACAGGTAAAACAACAAACATCAAGTGCAGCTTCTTTTCACCCACCCACATCCCCTGTTTGCTGTGCCTTAGGAATGAGTCCAGTGGTGTGACCGGTCCGACTCTGTCCAGGCTGAAGTTCCCTGCTGCTTCTCTGTCCTTTGTCATGTAAAACAAGGATACAGCATTTCCATCTTGTCCCCTTGCCCCTGCAGATGTCACAACTCACTGTTAACAGTCTCATTCCTTCCAACACATACGGTTGGCTTCACTTGAGCAAAAAAATAAAGATCTGTTGGACTGTTTATGTCTGTTTGTGGTTACAGGATCAGGCCAAAGGAAATGTGCAAAACAATCTGCACTTCAGCAATCAGTGTTTTTACTGACTGTTTTATAATGATGCTAAGTCTTGAAAAAACAGACTGAAGAGGATCAGTGAAGAGTTCATGTCAGTAGTTTACATACAGACAGCACTGCTTGAAAAACATTTCATGTTCTCAAAAGAAGGTATTTGCAAACAGAAAGTTCTAATCCAAGGTAAATCCAAGAGAAAGTGTGAGGTGTTAGGGTGTGGACAGACACAATTCATCTTCCCAAACAATGCTAAACCCACCTTTTTTGTACTTGTGGACTCATCAAACAGTAGAAGTTCACAGCTTTGGTGGAAGATGAGAGTAACTTGACTTTCAGAGATTACAGGTGTGTTCTCTGCACCCCACTCCCATTATTCTTCTTCACTTTCTCTCCTCCCCTCCTTCCTTGTCCACAAAGGTCACTGGTTGGTAGCCAGTATGTGTCAGTGACAGAATGCATGGTGCTTTAGAAATGCCTTGGTGAATGCCTGACATTTCAGCAGTGGATTCAATCAGGGAACAGTTGCTACTGAAAGCTAGAAAATCACTTTCCATCCATTTTTTCAATTGGAATATTTCACCAGGGCTTTAACTAGCACACATATTCAATGCAGAAATGTAATGAGTCCATTGTCTGAGCATCCACTCACATTGACTGTAAATTGCTTCTCTTCATTTCAGCATCCCTGGTGGAATTTGTGTTTTAATTATTTAATGTTTTTTATAGCAAGCTTTCAATTCATGATCCCACATAAGCCTGACAATAGTCTGCCTTGCCCTATATTGCTGGCAGATCAGGAATCAATGACAATGCCACAGAGTGGCACAGTGTGCTCGTCCTGACATTACTGATGCACGGAAATGTGGTGGCATGCAATGGCTCAGAACACCTGGGCATCTGGTGTTTGCAAACAAAAATAATTCCTTACGGTCAATATTGGTTAGAGGGTGCATGCAAGTCACCCAGATCTTTTCCTTATTCCCAGAATCTTTTCTGTTTGCAGGAGAGCAATGTTCCACTTCCACCTGAGCCATGAAGAATTCTTCAAATCAGATTAGTTTCTAATGTCACAAACATGCCTGGCCTGACTCAGTCATTTATTTTGTGATAACACAGCAGCCTGAAGTACTTTAAGACTTGAGGTCAAGACAGCACAAAAATCCCAGAAAAAAAAAAAAAAGAGAAGTTTGATGAGAGACATACCTGTCTGAAAAAAGAAAGATAGCAAGGCAGCATCAGTCAGAGGGGGATTGTGTAGACACGAGACATTCAGATATCTGTAATACGTCTGGCTTGGTCCCACCTGGCATTCCTGTAAAATTAGCATTATAAATCTCTAGACTAAAAGAGAGGATGTTTAATGTCCCATGCTGAGATGTCTAATAGACAGAAAAAGCAACAAAAATGATGATAATGCAGCTCTTGCCTAACACAAATTGTCAGATGACACGAGACAGAACTTAAAGGACCCATTTCTCTGCCTTAAAACACAAGTTATAAGTAGAGCAGGAAACCATCTACTCTTAACTTAGATTGGCAGCCTACCTAAGACATTTAAGTTGAATTAACTGCAGATAGGAAAGCAAGAGGGCCTTAAACCCCAGTGTGAACACTTTAGGATTAAGCTTTTCAGAAATAAATGTAAAGGAAGTGAGGGATATTCTATCTGTAAAAGAGAGAACATCCACACAGGGATTTGGTGGGCTTTAACTGTTGCAATTTAATGTCACACTCTTACTTAATTCATCTTAATCTTTCCCATGTGTCTGTCCCACTGCAGCTGAGTTCTTTAATTTGAAATATTATAGTGGATCTAATTTGAAAGACAGCATTAGCTGAACCATTAGCTAAAGGCTCGTCGGGGTGGGGAGGTTACTCAGGGATGAGTAACCAGCTACTTGGTACCTACTTTGTGCCAATGCTCTTGGTTTACTCTATCCTGTTGTAGGCTGCATCACACCACCTTGCATGTGCTCAGAGTTTGTGCAAGCCAAGAACAGCATTTTAAATTCAGATTCACATCTCTTTACAAGTCTAACATTGACCTGATTAAAAGCCAGAGGAAAGATGTGCAGGGCAGGTAGGACACCAGGCTCTGATGCAGTGGCAAGGATGGGAGATTGATACCAAACAAAAGTTCAAACACAAAAACACATATTTAAGCTTATTTATTTATATTTATATTTATATATGTATGTCTATAGAGGCAGGGGTCTCGGAACTAGATGACATTTAAGGTCTTTTCCTACCCAAACCACTCTATAATTCCATATATTTAAGCCCAAGAAGTTGTACATTCCCAGGGTTACAAAGATCAAGCCATTATGCCAAATGGGATGTTTCCATACATTGTTTGAGCTAACAAACAATATATGGAATTGCTAGCAGAGTATAGAAATCTGAGTCTGTGAAAGCCAGTAAAATGTCTAATTTAGTTGGCAGTGAAGGAAGACCACAAATGATCCTTGAAGACCAGGGAGAGATTCTAAAAGGCTGGAATTGGAACTCCGTAAGCTAATTGCTCAACACAGAAATAAAATAAAATAAAATAAAATAAAAACAAAAGGAAGAGTTTTGGGTTTTGTGTAAAAACATAATAAAAATCGTAATGTTGCCCTCCCATTACTGGTTTTCTCTGGCACTATGCTCAAAAACTGTGTCAAAATAAGGGTATATTGGAGCAAGACAGGCTATTAACCATTCT